ATAATCTTCTAATCCGCATATGCATTCCATATGGCAAAGAAATTTTAAATAGGAAGAAAATAACTACAATTAAAATAGATGACCTCAATCAAACTAGATACCCATTGAAACATCATTCTCAACAGCACCTAATGCCTCCTCGTCAATGTTCTTCTTTTTACCCCATCTTTTGATAACTTTGGCCCCAAGAATTGTCATTGTATTCTGTAGAATTGATGAAATATAAGATAAGTAAAGAAATAATTAGCTAAAAGATGAAAGCCAATCGTAAGAAGACCAAGAAAAGTGTGAACATGCTTTTTAGATTGATGAAAAAGAACTAATTTGCATTCTTACCTACGGACAACATGAAATTATGATCAAATACACTAATCCAAAAGACTCAAAAGCAGTGCAACTAGAAGAGACAGATGGAAAATTAAAATAGGAGAAATAGGAAATATCCAAGATTTAGTACTTTTAGCCAATTTTATAGCTCCTATCACCTCCACCTCGTTTGAAGCACCTGATATTGGATAAATGTTCAACTATCAAACAATATTAAACAATAAAAGATTTACGAAACACTTGAAATCAACATAAAAATGGAAGGCAAGAGTCAGAAAGTCTACAAAAGCATTTCATCGAACACGTAAATTACAAGATATATTTTCGCAACATCGGAAGTAAAGTAACCATGGAAGCAAATAAAAACAACATTAAATCAAACACATGAATGCAAAACCACAAGCAGATCCAATACCACCGTACAAAGAACAATAATCAGATTACAATTGCAAGAGTTTAGCATTTAATATGGCGATAGTAAAATTACACATATGATATCAGTTCGCATATTTCGTTCTCCATCATGAACCTCAAGATAAGGGATTCACAAGTGAAAAAATAGTTTGATTTTTTGCAAGAAACATCTCTCAGGTCTCAATTCATTGTGGATAGGCTATCCCCCATCAGTGAGAATAGGTATATAGAGAGTGTCGAGAGAGAAAGAGAGAGACGATGAAGTTACTGGGATGGTTGCTGGTGATGGCGAGACAGAGATTAGTTGGACATCAGAAAAGATTAGAGCCTTTAAAGTGCCTACTGAAATAATTTCGTGATATACAGAGAAGACCTAAAAAAGTATTGGTGGAGGGAAAAGGTGATTGATTTCGAAAATATTGGAGGGACAGATTTGAAAATTTCACTTTCAATTAGTGCTTTAGTGGTCATTCTTTTCTATTGCGGGCAAAAGGTATATTTTCCTGGCCAATGCTCATTAGCCACTACTTTTTCATTTGTAAGAAATATTTAGCAGCAATTAACTTATTGCCACTAAAAGTACTTTTTCTTGTAGTGAGCATTGCATGGAATGATCTTATAGGCTAAAAACTTAGGACCACCCCTTATCCCTGTTTGATAAATTGAATATTGTATTTGTCCAAATTATCCCCTCTCCTTTTTAGACTAATTCATTTAATTTATGTTTGGCCGATACCCATCGTTGTGGACCTCGAGGGGTGCCTAACACCTTTCCCTCAAGGTAATTTCGAGCCCTTACCTGATCTCTAGTGATGTAGACTGGTTATCTGAGTTAATTGCTTTAGGTGCCCTAACGCATCTTAAATCCGTTTGGTGGCGACTCTTCCAAATCCAATTCCCTACCCTCACGGAAAGGAATTGTCCCAGAAATATCAAAACACAATTTCGCGAGAAAAAAGGGGCGTGACACTCACATCTGGACTCTCTAAAGTAGATTAAGTGTAGCTTATTTCCATCCACAAAGCACTATAATTATCCTTTGTCAATACTTGTCAATGCTAAAATATCTTTAAGCCATGTGCTCTCAAATTATTCGTATGATAATTTGCTTAAAGTCTCGTCTCATCTTACATTAATACTAAATTGATGGAGGCAGTCACTTGTGCCAAAGGCTGACCAATATATACCCAACAAACCTTTCAATAATATCAAAAGAATACACCAAAAGCATTCCATTATATGAATGTACAATAAAACATCTAAGATAAGAATGCAAACAACTATTCAAATAATAAGTATATGCAGATACAACTCATTTAATATTTAAAAAATAATAAATATCAGTGAATTTCGAACTAAATAAATAAAACAGCAATGACTATATAAGCATATGCAATCCTTGAGATCTTGCACGAAAAAAATATGCATATCTAGGAACCGGCTGAGTCAATGGATCTGTAACCATTTGTGCATATACACTTTACATTTACTTATTGCGTGCAACCATGTCTTTCATAAAATTGACTTTAGTATCAATACATTTGGCTGTAAAATGATATTTAGGATCCTTCGTGCTTAAAATAACAGCTTGACTGCCACAAAGACTGTCACTAGATCAGTACTAACTACAACATCAACAAATTGTCCAAGACCCATTTTTAATCAAGCAATTGCTTCGACCTAAGCATAGTAACCTGAAGAAAAAAAGATCTTGTAACAACAGTCTCATTAGAAAGTTATATACATTCCATAAGAAAGTAGCACCTATAGTGACTAGTGAACGGGAAGTAGAATCAAAAGTAAGATTCGAGATCATATGAGTTTCACGGAATTCCAACATGCATGGGCACTAAGATAGGCCAAGTTTTCATGTAACAAGCGGCAGAAAAACTTGGAAAATTAATTGCTTGCGTATAAAGACAGCTGAGAATGCACGAAAGGAATAATTCAATCTGACCTAGAGTTAGTTATGTAATGACCGCACTTAAGATTTTGAAGTAGTATCCATGCAACATATATATTGATATTCTTATAGTTATAGGAAACTCAGGTACAAGTTAAGAGAAAGAATTGAGTCCACGTCACAGACAAAGGCTTGAATTATTAGAGGATTAAAACATGGATATTCCATAGCGTACACGAAAGACTAATGTAATAACTAATACCTTGAGCCGCAGATTGGAAGACAGCTTAAGCCGACTTAAAGGATGAGAGAGAAGAGGAAGCTCGAGAGTTACATTAGATAAGCAAATCAGGAGTCGAGTATTAGACCCAGATGTTTATAGAAATCATGACTTAGAACATTGCAGAATCACTCTTAATAGCAGAAGTACAAGAGAAGTACATCGGCCATATTCTGTAAAAGCTCTACGGTAAAGTTAGTTAGAAGAGTACCAAACTTAGAGATAATAAAAGATGGAGTGGAGATGACAGGCTAAATTTGTGCCCCAATTGTTATGGGACTCCGGGACATTACCAGGGCGAGCGAGCATCATCTTTACCATTCGAGTAAAGAACACAGACAACAACAGTGTTGTAATCTAGAATACTGTAGAAATAAGAAGACATGATCTGAGACGAGCGACACCATGTGGTCAGTACGTCAAAAATGACCGCGGACTATAAAGTATAACATGGATTAAAAACTCTCCAACTCGACCGTTCAGTTCGTCACCGTTAGAACAAGCTATGCTAAAAATAGAAAGATGATAGCTTTTACAGAAGTACCATAATTTAAAAGATCAAGAATGTTAGGTAGCTAAGATGACAGGTCAAGTATAAATCTTTACGAGATCGGGATAAGTCAGGAGACTAGAATACGAGGTTGATAAGTTGGAGCCTATCCTAAGTGTAACGACCCGACCGGTCGTTTTGAGCTTTTGCACTTTGACCGCCAGTTCTCGGGCATGACTTGCCCCGTGTAATGTATTATGACTGATGTAGACCATTGGTTTTGGTTTTCAGGGAAATCGGAATGAATTTGAAAGAACAGTCTCAATTGAAAGCTTCGAATTTTAAGGTTTGACCAAGGGTTGACTTATTTGTATATGAGCTCGGATCGAAATTTTTATGATTTGGTTAGCTTCGTTGGGTGATTTATGACTTAGGAGCGTGATCGGAACTGGTTTTGGAGGTCCGGTGTAGAATTAGGCTTGAATTGGCAAAGTTGGTATTTTGGCGAATTCCGGTTGACAGGTGAGATTTTGATCCGAGGGTCGGAACGGAATTCCGAGAGTTTCTGCAGCTTCGTTATGTCATTTGGGATGTGTGTGCAAAATTTCAGGTCATTCGGACGTCGTTTGGTCGGGTTTTTGATCGAAAGCGAGTTTCGGAAGTTCTTGGCAAACTTAGGCTTGAATTCGATGAGAATAGATGGTTTTAGTGTTGTTTGAGGTGTTTTAATGATTGGAACAAGTTTGAATGATGTTTTAGGATGTTTTGGTGTTTTTTGTTGAGGTCCCGAGGGCCTCGGATGAGTTTCGGATGGTCAATCGGACCATTTTTGGCATTTTGGAGTTGCAGATTTTCATCTCAGCTGTTGCGGAAGAAATGGCCTTCGCGATCGCGTGAAGTCCCTCGCGATCGCGTAGAGGGATTTTTCGTTGGCCTAGGTTTGCTCTTCGCGTTTGCAGTGATGGGTTCGCGTTCGCGTAGTTTTGGAGGCGAAAGCTTCGCGATCGCGGTTGTCTGTACGCGTTCGCGTATAAGGATTTGGGGACCCAGTGGATTTGTTCTCCGCGTTCGCATAGGCTGGTCCGCATTCGCGTACGTTTGGGAAAAAGAGCATCGCGTTCTCGGAGGGAGCATCGCGTTCGCATTGAGTATTTTTGAAGCCTTGGATTTTTGTGCTTCGCGATCGCGTGGCCTTAGTCGCGATCGCGAAGAAGGATTTGGAGTTGCTGGGCAGAATGTATTTACAGTCACCTTGTCCGCGATTTTGGGTCTATTTTCACCCATGACTGCTCGTTTTTGGAGATTTTTAGAGGAGATGAAAGAGGGATTCAAGAGGAATCGACTTGAGGTAAGAATCTTGGTCTTAAAACTTGATTATATTGTGAAATCCACCTAGAAATTCATGGAAACTAAGCCTAAAATTGAAGAACTAGGGCTTGAGAAATTGGACTTTGAAATTTGGGATTTGAAGGACCATTTGAGGTCGGAATTGAGAACGTTTGATATGTATGAACTCATGGGAAGATAAGGAATCTAATGATGTGAAAATTTCTGAGTTTCGAGAATATGAGACAGGGGCTCGGGTTTTGCTAATTTCGAGATTTGGATATATTTTTGATTGTTTTCGCTTGGGCTTTGTTCCCTTAGCATAATGTGACGTATTCGCTCTGGTTTTGGATAGATTCGATGCGCGTGTGTAGATACCCAATTTTTTCCTAGTAATTTTATACTCAAAATACTTCCAAAATAGCATATATGTGCATATATAAGCACACCCAAGAGTTCTGGCATTTTTAATGATTTTTAAACCAATTCATTGCCTATTTTAATACAACAAAATCCAATAATTATTTCCAAAATTATCATTTTGGCGAATAATTCATTTTATTCTCACATTTGCACCAAAATATAATTAAGGTAATTTTTGCATATTTTTACAAATTTATTTGGTATTTTTAAAGCTAAATTGCATATAATTGCAATTATAGCCTGTTTTGTGATTAATAGCATTTTATAATTACAAAATTAGTTCCAGTATTTTTAAGTTAATATTTATGTAATATTTGTTTACTCAGTATTTTTAATTTATTTTTAAAAACCATCATTGCTATTTTTATAAAATAAAACGGGGGAAAAGTGGCTATTTAAAATCTGGCCTCAATTTCATTTCAATTACAGCCCAATTTGCACCCCAATTCAACCCAATCCCAACCCCCAAATCAATTTAAACCCGATTACTTGATCCAATCGCCCAAACCCGCCCGTTTTCTTTTTAAAATCTGAGCCATTGATCATTTTGATCAACGACCTAGATCTCTTATTCCCTTTTTAATTCCAAACGACCCCCTAAACCCTACCCCATTCTTTCAGAAGCGCCGCCTCTAACTCCTCTCTTCTCTCAAACGCTCTCGAGCTCTCTCGAAACCCTAATCGCTCTCTGCCACCTCCAACCCCAAATCCACCGGAATCTATGGCTGTTCTAACCATGGACGACCTATTCTCACCCCCTACTGCTCTCACGTGCTTGATACCTGAAGGTTCGAGGCCAGACCTCGAAGGTCCTCGCTCAGACCTTCATCAATTCGAAGTTTCCAGCCATCTCCGGCCTTGCTCCGGCGTGTCTTAGCCTCCTGAGCCTGATTCCGACCTTATCGACTCTGGATCTGATCTTGTCTCTAACAAGCCTTTCTCGTTTCTAGGGTTCTCAGAAACCCTAGCCTATTCGAGGTTCTTTTTCGTTTATTTGTTCGGATATGTGCTCGATCTGTGCTAT